TAAAAATAGTCATATGATTGAAATATCAGAAACATTGACTGTTATGAGCCACGACGTCACGTGGTCATTCTCCAACGTATACACGTGTTGAACAGGAGGTCCAAGCGGTGAACCGTGGCGGCTGGTGTTTATTTTCCAAGTTGTATTTAAGGTGGCTCGACACATCGTCATCAGCGTCCATTTTCGTGACGTACTTCCGGAAAAAGTACAGCTCGGACTCAATTATCTTGATCGAAATGTGCATGTACACCGTGTCGTCATTTCCGTTTTGCGTATCGGGTATTCAATATCGTAGTGCAAATTATAGTAACACCTGGGCCGTTTGCGGAATTGTTCCGAACAATGCCACACACAAAAAAAACCGGAAAATATTAAAAGTGGCGAAAATTCAATTTTTTGGTATTTTTTCCAAAAAATTCCCCAAACTATCGGAATGTTTAGATTTTCATAAAATTAACTCTACATAGTTGCATAACCATTATATGAAAGTTTCAACGAATTTTGCTTGTTAATTGCGAAAGTGTGGAGCCACCTTAAGTCAGATAATGACCTCAACCTGGGAGTTCTTCTGAAAACAACCCAGAGATTCGGGCTACCGCCCTCATCAGGTTTCGGTCATTTTCCATTACGTAATGACCGTATGATATTGATTTAAAAGTAGGAACGTAACATTATACACACTTATTCATGGCATGTCTTTTTTTAACCTGAACATGAGCCAATTTAATGGACGGTTAGTAGTAATATTTCCCATTTCGATTTACTAACCGCAGTAAAGGAGTGCACACACACACACACACACACACACACACACACACAAAGATAAATTCCGTCAAGCTTTGACAGCTTTACATGGAATACCACTGTAACGCATTCTAAACACCTTTTTTTTATTTTTTGTATATCAGTCATTTATGATAAACTTTTTTTGTTGTTAAAACTTTTGATATATCCACATGTCATAAGACTATTATGCGTGCTCAACACCACGTCTCAAATTATTGGTAGATATAAATAGTTTGCTGTCAATAAACAGGAAACTCCCTATGAAGAAACTGAATTTATACAAGGAGATATGATACCTTACCCTTTCCTATCCAGAAATTATGAATTTTTATCTTTGAATTACAAGACTTTCTTCAACTACTTTAATCTCATTTAGGCCACAATATATATATATATATATGGAATAAAAACAAATTTTTCAGATCGACCGCTAGGCCTTTCTGCCTTCTAGGGGTTCCTCAGGCGGATTGATGTTTATTTATCACCGTTGGTTACATGACGTCATCAATATTTGTATAGTCAACAATTTTAGTGACGTCATAAATAAACAAGCATAGTGACGTCACAAACAATACCAAGACAGAGAAAACATCTACATACAATACATTGCAAAAATCATTGTGCATTCAGGCTGGGTTTGAGGACTTTTATAAACATATTTTCTTTAATTTCTCTTGCAACTACATCGTCGCTATTCAGTTTGTAAATAGGTAACACATGAAAATCATCTTTAGAATATCGATGCATATGTTTGCTAACTTTAAAAAAATCTTAGTTCATTGTCCTTCATTTGTTGTCTATGTACATTCATTCGTATTCTCAATTCACATCCGGTCTGTCCGATATAAAATTCACCACATTGTTTACATATTAAAGAGTAAATAACATTCTTAGAATTACAGTTAATGTCTGATCTAATTTCTATTTTGGAACCATTTGCAAAAACGTAGTCTTTAAATTCAATGATAATCTTACATGTACCATATATATATCTATATATATCCTATATACAAAATAAAAACATGAATCTGTCGGATCTTCATATATACAGTATATACATGTATGTTTTATCTCTAACAATTTTATCTTGCTCGAACGCACTACATTCAGTGTTGGGATACCTTGTCAACGGGATGCGGACAGATAAACAAACAAGACAGCTGTATCTACCCCTCTCTACTTCCTAGGCATCTATGAAAACCAAATTTAAATCTCATATTTTTATTCAAAAGACCTAAAAACGTGTTTGATGATATTTTTTGTAAATTTCTTAAATTACCCCCAACCATCAAAAACAGTAAAAAATATATATAAAAAGGAATCCCTACCGACCAACCGAATGTGTTCAGTCGTGTTACCGGACACATACTTTTGGCCCTATCCTATAAAACAACCAGACCACTATTCGTCAGCACCTCAACGTTTTCCTTATCAACAGATTATCTCACTTCCAAACTGTATGACAAACATGACGAATTACATTTCACGAATGTTAACTTTCCATTCCTCAGTAATAACACAATAGGTAAAGAACTTAAGACACATTTCATTGCACCTATAAAATGTAATAACTTATATTTCAATCAAAGTCCTGACAGGACTGAGAGTCTCGTATTGTAAATATAGCAGTTAATTAGCTTTGATTAGAAATAAGGTGGTTTATGCAAGGTTTTCCTGATTGTAGGGGTGATACAATCATGATAGTATATTGACATGATTTTCAAAACTCATATATACCGGTATATATATATATATATTTATTACATTTTTGCCAAGGAAATATCGGATTCTATCAACTTGATAAAACTGATATCTTTCACACTGTGACAAATATCAAAAGTGATATTTTTACACTGTGAAAATATCACTTTTTGGAATTGACCAATCATACCGGTATCTTCTATTCGCTGCATTCAAAGGCAACCATTTTTTTTTGGTACAGATTGAAAGGAAGCGACGGTAGAATAAGTGGTTGTTATGGTAAATGTTTGGTACACACACTTAAATATTTACATGAATATACAATTAATAACATTTTCATAAGCAATCACACCAGATGAGAGCAGAAAATGTCGGAATTGCATCAAGTATCCCATTCAAAATGGCGCACAGCCTAGTTTGTTAAGCGTGACGTCATTAGAATATGGCCAAATATCATCGTCTTAGGCCTATTGGTTATTCAGATAAAAATGTATTAAAGGTTTTTAACATATTTGACCCCTGTGACCTTGAATATAAGTCAAGGTTATTCACTTGAACAAACTTGGTAGCCCTTCATCCCAGCATGCAACTGGCCAGACATCATCACCCTAGACCTTCTTGGTTATTCAGAAGAAGTTGCGAAAGGTTTTAAACATATTTGACCCCTGTGACCTCGAATGTAAGTGAAGGTCATTCATTTAAACAAACTTGGTAGTACTTAATTCAAGCATGCTACTGGCCAAATATCATAAACCTAGGCCTCTTGGTTATTCATCAGAAGTTGTTAAAAGGTTTTAAACATATTTGACCCCTGTGACCTTGAAAATGGATGAAGGTTATTCATTTGAACCAACTTGGTAGCCCTTTATCGCAGCATGCTACTGGCCAAATATCATCACCCTAGGCCTCTTGGTTATTCAGAAGAAATTATTTTAAAGGTTTTGACATATTTGACCCCTGTTACGTTGAATATAAGTCAAGGTCATTCATTTGAACAAACTTGGTAGCCCTTCATCCTAGCATGTTACTTGCCAAATATCATCACCCTAGGCCTTTTGGTTATTCATTCAGAAGTCGTTAAAAGATTTAAACATATTTGACCCCTGTGACCTTGAATATAGGTGATGGTCATATATTTTAACAAACTTGGTAGCCCTTCATCCCAGTTTGCTTCTGGCCAACTATCATCACCCTAGGCCTTTTGATTATTGAGAAGAAGTTGTTTAAAGTAAAATATTAACGCCGGTCGACAGACGGACGTCACGCCACACCACAGCATAAGTTCACCTTCCTGAAAAATCATAAACACAGTTATATATCTTTAAGAGGCAATTATAACTTAGGATCCATCTGTCATCTTTGTGTGGATTCACTGTCAACATCACCATGACTTTTTTTTGTGTATTCACTTTTGGAAATAACTAACCAGACAAACATTATGTAAAGATTTTATTTCATAGAATCTGAAATTTCAACAATTCCAAAAATCTAGTTTTAAAATATATAGGATATAACAGGCAGTAAAAAGGCAAAGACAATAAACACAGATAAATCTGAAGGAAACAAGTACACCAGTCACTACAGGAGAGATCCTACTGCAATCGGAAACTGTCGGCACTTTCCATAAAGGAGAACGGAAAGTGCCAACAATTCCGATCGATTATTACTTCAGCAACAAAACAATAAAAAAATCCTCAAATAATTTAGCAATGAATTTAAAAAACATTTTTTTTTATTTTCAGGTAATCAGTCCATACGGTGTAATGGAGCAAATCAGATTTCGTACATAAATTTGAATGCGTCATATTTTTCCGTTTGCATTAAAATGCCAAATTCAAGGTTATCATGTCACAATGAAAACCCTGATTGTGTAGAATTTCTTTAATTGTGAACACAGATGTACCAGCCTTCTTCAACAGATACATGATACCAAGAAAAATGAATTATTTATGATCGTAAGTAGACACAAATGGCACCAAGAAGAAAATACTACAGCTAAAAATCTACATACTGTGAAATCACTCCTTTTTGTGGGTTTTTTAATTTTGTTGATTTCGTGGGTAATCTTCATCCAAGAACTCAGAGGTCCACAAAGTAATTACAAGTTTGACATAAAGCTATTCTCCGTATGAGTGGGTACTCATAATTTTAGGCCCACAAAATTTGCTGATTTCACAGTAGTGACACACTTGGAACATATATAAAGTCAGTGATCTCATTATGTAAAAAGGCAGAAAGGGTTTCTCAAGTAGCAACAACTGGGGCCAGATGCAACTCTACCATCTTTACACAGATAGGTAACTGCTTCCATCAAATGTTGAATGGAATAATAGGGGTGTTGTTTTATGGTATAAGAATATTTTTTTTTATTTTTAACTTTAAACTTATTAAAAAACATCTTACACATATTCAGTTGAAACATAAGAAAATTCCTTCACACTATTTATCAAATAACATATATATATATCTATATACCACAACTAATTTATAACATTACAAGTATACTAATTATATTTTCATAAATTAACAATGTTGAAAGCATTGAATAATTTATTTATATAGAATTGATTTTTTTCATTATTTTGTTTCAGTCTACATAGTAAGTGAATCGAGTGAAAGTATATGATATAGTGCCAGAACTTCTACTACCTAAGTCATGCCCGTGAGCTCTCTACTACCTAAGTCATGCCCGTGAGCTCTCTACTTGAATTGGGATACAAAATCGTAATAGGATATCATACTTGTCAACTTTTTGAAATTTCCAAAGGGGAAATTCTTCATGCTCAAAATTAAAACACAAATAAGATGTGTGTGTAAACCAGATGAAAGCATTAGATCTTAGAATATAGGAATAGTTGAGCAAACTCACTGGTTGAAAATACTAAATGTAAGGGTCCAAAATCGGGAGTCTCCCTTCTAAATAGTGAGTTGGCAAATATGGGATATCAATTAATTTAATAAATTATGCACACACAAAAATATAATATGGAACAATAATAGGTTGACTGCTTGTTAGAAAAGCGCTAATTTAGAATTGAACTATTGATAATTCTCTAGAATAGGAAATTGATACACGAGTTTATCTACCTTCTACATGGTAAGTTTCAACATAATATATTGACAATGAAATTTGTTCTAAAAAAGTTAGGAAAGGTCAAAGGATCTCAAGTCTTTCCTGAGATCAATTTTAAATATGAATGTTTTAAATGTAATGTTCAGGAAGGTTGAAAACAAAATACATCTAACAATAAACATGGCTGGAATTATAAATCTGAAAACCTGCTCTCAGATTATTCAGGTTTAAGAAATTGTTTTTGATAAAATCCATGTACATGGCATATTTTCTGTTGGACTTAAAGTTACTGAAAAGAACATTAACACCAATACACAAGGCATTTATTCCATAGTTATTCCAACAGTTTTCATGGATTTTTATACACAAGTTATTGACTTTATCTACACAGAAAGTGACTTAATTATCTACCCAGCAAATAATACATCTATACAGATATCTAGTGTTTATTAGACTATAGTGATTCCAAAAAGTGGCTTTCAAAAACAATAATGATGTATTTCAATTGGCATATTTCTCAAGACATTTGAATAGCTGTATTTATAGACTTCGTTTTATGATCCTTTTGATAAAGTTTTGTCCACAGGACAAGGTCAGTGGAGGTCAAAGAATAGTTGAAATGATGTAAGATTGATATGCCATGATGAAATGTCTTCCTGTAACATCAATGATTCTGTGTCTGTATAAGGCAATGCCGGTGATGTCATCAACACGTCCTCATACTGTCGTGGCCGGAAGATTATGTTGGTGGTTGTCATGACATCACTACTGGTGGTTACATTACAAAGTTGGAGTGTTCAGTGAGAGTGATGCGCATCTATGACCAGAGGATGACATTGGAGGTTGCCGTGACAACAAACCAGAGGATGACTTTGGTGGTTGCCATGACAACAAACCCGAGGATGTCATTGGTGGTTGCCATGACAACAAACCAGAGGATGACTTTGGAGGTTGCCTTGACAACAAACTAGAGGATGACTTTGGTGGTTGCCTTGACAACAAACCAAAGGATGTCATTGGTGGTTGCCATGACACCAACTAAGACTTTCGGTAACATCACACATTTGGGTTGTTCAGTAAGATTTCATCTCATTCTTCACGCAAGACTTGAACGAGCTCCAGTTATCCTGGGTATGCATCAGATGAGACTGAAAGTAAGAAAAATAAAATAAAAATTCATATATACATTTACACTTACATTTCAATCTTTAATCATATAGTGCAAGAGTGACAGTGTTACAATTAAATGTACAGTGAAACAATATTACATTCCAACCATTAGACCTATGAAAAGGTTGAGAGATTAATGAATATAGATATGAGTTTATAGTGACAAAGTTTGACGGTACACCATAAAGAGGAAACAAATCAGTTTTTGCAGTACATATGATAGATAAACAATTACTGACATGAAATGAGGTTTACACAAGAATGTATCAACCTCTAAATATGATTAATATCAAAGGAAGTAGAAGATTATATAATGCAATGATTGATCTTGTGTCATTTCAGATTCACAAACAAGATTGTGATGATAATATATACCATAATTGAAGCAGAAATCATGAGAAATACAAGCTTAATAGAATACAAAATTAACAAAGTAATGGAGATGAATTTCAATATTGTAAACATATTTATTTTGGTGTATATTTACTTTTTTTTGCAATTTCCATGCTAAACCAGTGCATTGTGAACTTACATAGAGTATAAATTATGTTTTGCAATTCTGGTGATTAATATTTTCTTTTTAAATATTTTGATTAGGGCATGCACCACATCTGCTGTATGCTTCAACAGCTAGAGTATTGCTGTTGACATTCTGTTAGAATGTTTAATATTCTCCAGATATTGTATTCACTTTATCAAGCACCCTGGTGGTGGGTCGAGAGACCAGACACATATATTGACAAAGTATAAGCAACTATCCATTTCTTTGAAGTTTTTATCGTTTGTTCAGACTAGAGGAAAGAATTAAGAATGCTTTATTCTTTGTTTGGAGGTGTAGGGGCTTTGGGTGGGCGGGTCACAGGGGATCTCTTATACTGTATAACACGAAATGTTCGTGGATACTTTCCTTGGTGGTTTGAAGCCATTTAGATCATTTCGTGGTACAAAATTTTGTGGATGATATTAACAAACAGTAGACACGTCGTGTATCATTCAAATTTGTCGTATTTATTTTCGTGGTTCAAAAGCGAACACGAAAATCATGAATGTTTATACACAGTGAACATTTCATGTTATACAGTAGGCAGACTTTTTTCCACTGCAATTTACAATGAAATCATTTGTCTTAAAGGTGTATATGTTACCTGAAATATGATACCTGTGATCACTTTTCAGAAAATCAAAAATGATGAATGGAATTGAGTTTTAATAAGAAAAATCTCACAGCCAGCTGCCAATATTGTGACTTGATTTGTTTAAGTTACAATGATATAAATATGATTAAGACAGAGAGGACTCTGTGCTTACAAGAATCAGTCTGATCTCGATGTTTATTTAAATCAGCCAAAATAACCAGTGCCAGCTACAAAGTTCTTTAACGTAAGTATTTGAACTTTTAAAAATCCACAAACTGTATGTTTTTCTATAATCTGGGCCCAGTTGTTCAAAAAGTGATTAGCTTAATCAGTGATTAGCATAAATTTTAATTTGTGTGTAAGTTTAAAACAAAATTATTAAATTAGAGACAACTTTCCAAATATCCATATTTAGTAGCGTGAAGTCACATGCAAAATTGTGAGATTTTACCTTGAACATTGACAAAACTATCAAAGGTTGAAAAATGTCATTAAACAGTGACTAAGCTGACCACCTTTTGAACAACTGGCCTTTTTTACCACCCATGTAATTCTTTCCAAAATTAAGTGTAGCACAACCTCAAAAACACTATGTAATTGTTGAAAGGATTTGACAAAAATCTGTTTCAGGTAAGCTACACAAATTCTTCAGATCACCCTATCAAGTGGTCATTATATGTGTCATTAAAATAAATATGACACGTAATTAAGTTACTACGGGTAATTAAAATCATTACCCAGATATAGAAAGCCAGGTGACCTGAACATTTTCATTTGTAAAAGAATGTTTTTTTTGGTCCCTGTTACATGTAAGGAGTTTGTACAATTCAGTTCTTCTGCTCAAATAGCTAACAATAAATGAAATGACAATTCAAAACCTATTCAGAATTCGTTATTCCTGAAAACTAATGAGCATTTTATGACATAATGAAGCAAAGTTGGTCAGAATTAAAGAGACATACTGAGGTAAAAAGTCTAGGTCAAAGGTCAAGGTCATTGGGTTCAAAGGTCAAGGTCAAATTTTGAAGCTTTTCATTAATGAACATTTTATGACATTATGAAGCAAATTTGGTCAAAATTAGAGACACACTGAGGTCAAAGTTCAAGGTCATTAGGTTCAAAGGTCAAGGTCAATTTTTTTCCAACACGCTGATATAAATAACAATGATCAAATTATTTCAATTATTATTTTATCAGTTTGTATTTATATTTTTCCATGTTTCCACATCAATATATGTCTGATCGAAAACAGCTTGCTCAGTTCTTATGATATTTTTCTCTGGCAAATAGAATATCATAATAAGGGGGTTCCACTGTATCTATATAGTAACAATGCCATGCAAAGTAATTATTTGTACATGTTGGTGAGTCAGTTTATATACCACATGGACCTTTAATGATGTTGATGTGTGGTTAAAGTCATGTCACATTTTATAATAACATCTTGTAAGGCAAATATAAAAGAAAATACTACTTAAGATTTAAAAAAAAAAAATCCAGGTAGGAAAGAAATGAATTATTTTGAAATTTTCAACATATTTATTGCTATTTCACTGCTAAAAGAAGCAAGCAGTAATATACACGACAAAAGCTGGAATGTAGAATATTAAAGTGTCATTATTGTTTTTGGTAATGTTCTATAGGCTAAGTAGATATTAGGCAGGACATGGGGACTTCATGTTTTATGAAGTCCCCATGTCCGGCCTAATATCTACTAAGCCCATAGAACATTACCAAAAACAATAATGACACTTTTCCTTGTTTCTGTGCCAAGCAATCAAGTTCAAAGAGACCCTTTTCCAGAACAAATCTTATACATTTTACATCCTTTTTGCCAAGTGATATTAAAGCAATTTTATGTATAATTCTTTTTTATCATTTTACCTTGCTTCAGTATGATTTTATGATCTTCCTTTCAAAGGTCTCGGGTTTCGTAATTTGGAAAATATTCTAAGGTTAGTAATTACCTTGATAATCTTATAAATCTCATGAAGTGTTTATCCATTTCCTCCCTCAATTACAAATTTCTTACTATCGATTCAATTTCAAAATTTTGTATATTACATACAATTCTAGAAAGTTGACCAAGGGAGGCGATTCAATTGTATACTGATCTCTATGGCTATTTATACTATGTATATATGACTTCTGAAGTACAACTCACACACATTATTTCCTCCATTTTTAGTAATTCACGTGATCAAATATCCACATTCTCTAAAAATTGTGTATATATCACAATCACATAATTTAACAGTGACAATGCACTCCTACATATATATCTTATAACCATGTTCTGCACAACACAAAATCCTACATGCTGAATGTATACACAACAACTCTCAGTGAACAAATGCAATAATCTGTCTGTACTTGGTAAATGCTGCTACCTACAATTGTAAACAAAGTTACCATGGAAACTTACTGTAGAGATCAGATAAGTTTTGTTGCAAAGACTGTCGAAGTTGCCATGGTAACTTAAGAGAGAATTCATAAATTGTACTACATTTTGAAAAACCAAAGTACCACAGTAACTCCATGTACAAATTTGATAAATTGTGTAGGTCACGCTCTTTCCCAGGGTGAGATGCATGATAAGATGTGCTGGAAATTCAAAGATGGTAATCAAATTTCATAAAATATACTCAAAGGGGAATAACTCTTACAATGTAGTGGACCTGTCAACTTTTATTTGATTAATAAAACGCATGTAAATTAACAGTAGCAGTGACATTGCTTTCTACAACACCAGGTCTCTTACCAGTAATTAACAGGATGCAGGTTGCATATTGTGTAATACATATTTCTATTTTCTTTTCACATAAACCCTTCACGTAATTGTAAAAATATCTTATCTCAACCCAAAGACAATGATAACAGAATGTTTACAAAGTGTCACTTAGTCTTGTTCAACCTGAGCCTCTGTTTCGACTGCACAACAACAGCAAGCTGAGAGTCCAGTTTTATTGCCATGAAATGAAGAAACCTTTATTGGCTCTGATTTACTGGTACATTTTTTTTAACTCATTCACCCCTGAAGACATATTTGAACCCTTCCAATTCGAAAGTTGGAATAGTTCATAATGAAATTTCAGGAGTGTATGAGTTAAGGGGAGGGTGGTTTGGCAACAAAAGTTCCAAAATTGTTACTTCAGCAACAAGGCTTCATATTTAAGAATTATTTTAGTCTGTTTTCAGATTTGGTTTCAAACTCTTCCATAGCATGCTGATTTGTTATAGGTCCAATGCAAAGCAAATTTTTACTGAAGAAATTTGTCAATAAATCAAGAAATTTGTCAATATTCTTTTTCTATCAGCACTTTTGTTAACCAAAACCATAAAACCATCAATTGGTATATTTTTCTGCGACCAATCTGATCCGACTCTTCTGAGGTTCGAGAATCGGGGTGAACAAGACTAAACATCACTTGACATTGTACAAGTATAATTTTGTGAAGTACAAATTTTCATGTAATTTGACAACACTCAACTCAATAATATAAGGACATGAAAGGTCATGCGACCTTCACCTTACACGACAAACCCTCACTATAAATCATGCATGCCATCCTGTGGTTGCAGTTAGTTTTCCAACTCAGGGATGCCGACTATATAGTCAAACAGTACATATTAGTGACACGGTATACATACAAATTACTGACACAAATCATTGCAGTTTATTCGCAGTCACGACCGTGAAGATTATATATTGTCACGATATCTCTAGCCAAATACATCATCTGATCTGAGAAAGGAAATCTTACCGCCATGTAATATTTCTTCCATTTCTGAACACGTAATATCAAAAGACATCATTAGAGAAGTACATGTATATACTGTAAAATCAATAATTTTCGTGGGGTTTTCAATTTCGTTGATTTCATGGGTAATATTACCTTCATCCACAAATTCATAGGTCCACTAAGTAATTACAAGTTTGATATAAAGCTATCTTCTGTTTGAGTGGGTACTCGTAATCAACAAATTCACGTACTGGCACAAGTGCATGATGTACATCAACAGAGGTTCTCAAACAAATGAATGTTGACGAATGGTACTCGAACAAGTGTTTGTACATCGACACAGAGGTACTCGGATCCAACGGAGCACGTATTAACAGTGTGGTACTCACACCAGTGTACTTTGACAGATATTACTTGAAAACGTGGAAATATTTCATAAAACTGAAGAAACATATAACGAACTCTCCATAATCCCTATTATGAAAAAAAAGCTTTCACAACAACTAATGAAAGTTCTACAGTACGTGAATAAGGAATGTTCAGATTCTCAAAACATAAGTTGTGCTTGTTCACTTATATTTTTCTCAACATAATATAGTGTAATTTTGTGATTATTTTGTTGGGTGACTGAATTGAACAAATTCAGTGAAAGAAATTGGATATGTAAGAAATATGTCTGTAAAATGTCTCAAACAAACATGATAGAATACTATACAAGTATATTATGCTCAAAAAAGGAAAAGTGTCAATTTCAAAGAGGAAATATTTTCTTTCACCAAAGCTGGCTATCTTGTAGTATGGTAACAGTCTCTTACACGTACCAGCTATTAATGTAAAGAAATCTACCCTGCATGTTCCATCTAAACAACCTATATTTCAGCAGGAAACAATGAACCTAATTTAGATACTATAATATGTGTTGATAAAATTAAAACCAAATTAAGTTTTAATGTGTATGTGTTTATAAAGAATGATCAATGAGCTTTCAATTCAAATGAAACAGAGTCGATCAGCAGAATAGTTTTTGTTTGTTGATTGTATAGAATCATTGTTTGTTGATTGTACAGAATCATTGTTTGTTGATTGTACAGAATCATTGTTTGTTGATTGTACAGAATCATTATTCGTGATTGTACAGAATTATTGTTTGGAAATTGAACACGATTTTCACTGACAAGGGAGATAACTGATAAGCAATCCTATTTATATTCTGATTCCTTTTTTTCTTTTACATAGTATAATTCCCTTTTACTTTTATACATTTATGAAATGTTGAATTCTATTGGTACAGGGATTACGAATTGAAAATTCAGTCAAAATCCCTTTAGCTGTTCTGGCCAAGTAGTATTTTAAACAAAAATTAACTTTAGTACAGGTAGACGGTGAGCTAAAATGGAATATATATTCTTTTTCCAGCATCAGTGTGATATTTTGTGAACAACCTCAAAAATCGATAAACCAAAGTAAGTGAGAATTAAACTATAGTGGCAGTTCTACAGAATTCATTAATTATTGTGCATCTAAATTTAAACAAGAGGCCCAATGGGCCTGCATCGCTCACCTGGTATAAAACTCACACTTGTAACCTTAAAAGTGATCTAAAATAAAGCTACAGGCAAAATATCAGTATTTATGATTAAAATTCGTTCAAAAGACCCTGTTATTTTTTTTTTAAACATTTCACCCCTGTGATTGAAAGTCGAA